CTACACTCGGGTCGGAATCTGGGCCTACCTCTCTAAATGGATGGTGTGTGTGTGCACACACGACCCCTGGTTTTCTTTCTCAGGGGGTAATTGATTGTGTTTTAATGTGTCTTCTGACAAGAGTGAAAGGATAACACATGGGTCATATAAATCTCCCTCAGTCTTCACCTCTCCACCTCCATTTCTCTCCCTCACTTTTTCTCAGTCCACTCCTGCCCAACTCTCCCCATCTCTTTCTCCCCATCGCTCTCCCTTACTCTCTTTCGTCAACTCCATTGCTCTCTCTCCATCTCTGCTTCACTCTCTTTATTTTTAATCTCTCTCTCTCCTGGTAGCCTGCTGTGGCGGGTCATCATTTTTAATGACTGACCTGTTGTTAACCCTTTTTCATGTCTGGCACAAACAGAGGGATTAATTTACTGTCCTGTCAAAACACCCCGTGGCCAGCGGAAAACAGATCAATCACAACACACTTATATGGTTCATCGCTGCATTATCTAATAAACAGACATTCAAACCTCTCCTCTGATACATAGTTACTGCTCTTATAAGTGTCACATCCATTTAATTCAGTGATTTGGCTCATTGTAAGGGGTCTACTATAATGTCAGTATCAGTGAAGGTTCTACTGTGTGCTTAATTTGAGATACTATTGGTTCCTTTTGGATATTTTCAAACAGTGCCAGAAAGGTTTTTCTGAATGGATGTTTGTATTTTGGCTCCCTGAGAGATCCAGATCTGCTCTTCGAGACAGCCGGGCTCTGGCCTAGCAAGAGAGTACCCACTTCCTTGTGGGGAGAAGTGTGGGAGAAGAGAACTATAGAGGACAATAGCAGAGCAGTATGGGTACAGGACTGGAGACTGGGGATCTCCCTCTAGACATACCTTACCCAAACACTTCAACTATTTCTGACAATCATGACTACTTCAGAGCCTGTACATGCTTAAGTATACCTACTCTTGATTTGGCGAATATTAGATGCCAGAAAACTCAATTACACGTTCAGGGAAAACTCCTGGTCCTACGTCATAAACACACTCTCTCGCTCACATAAACACTGCAAAAAGCATCAGCTCCCCCTTAACTGTGCGGTTTTGTTTCCTACAGTGCCGTCGGAAAGTTTTCAGACCCCTTGATTTTTTCCACATTTTGTTACGTTACAGCCTTATTCTAAAATTGATTCAATTTGTTTTTCCCCTCATCAATCTACACACAATACCCCATAATGACAAAGCAAAAACAGGTTTTTAGAAATTGTTGCTAATTTACAGTACCAGTCAAAAGTTTAGACACACCTACTCATTCAAGAGTTTTGCTTTATTTTTACTATTTTCTACAATGTAGAATAATATCAAATCAAATCAAATTTTATTGGCCACATATGCCGAATACAACAGGTGCAGACATTACAGTGAAATGCTTACTTACAGCCCTTAACCAACAGTGCATTTAATTTTTTTATAAAAAAGTAAAATAAAACAACAGTAGGGAGGCTATATATACAAGGGGGTACAGGTGCAGAGTCAATGTGTGGGGGCACCGGCTAGTTGAGGTAGTTGAAGTAATATGTACATGTGGGTAGAGTTAAAGTGACTATGCATAAATAATTAACAGAGTAGCAGCAGCGTAAAAATATGTGGTGGGGGGTGGGGGTGGGGGGGCAGTGCAAATAGTCTGGGTAGTCATGATTAGCTGTTCATGAGTCTTATGGCCTGGGGGTTGAAGCTGTTGAGAAGTCTTTTGGACCTAGACTTGGCACTCCGGTACCGCTTGCCATGCGGTAGCAGAGAGAACAGTCTTTGACAATTTTGATGGCCTTCCTCTGACACCGCCTGGTATAGAGGTCCTGGATGGCAGGAAGCTTGGCCCCAGTGATGTACTGGGCTGTACGCACTACCCTCTGTAGTGCCTTGCGGTCGGAGGCCGAGCAGTTGCCATACCAGGTGGTGATGCAACCAGTCAGGATGCTCTCGATGGTGCAGCTGTATAATTTTTTGAAAGGTTTTTAAAAAAAACGAATTTACCAAATTTATAAAAACCTGTTTTCACTTTGTAGTTATGGGGTACTTTGTGTAGATTGCTGAGGATATATATATATATTTTTTTAAATCCATTTTAGAATAAGGCTGTAAGGTAACAAAATGTGGAAAAGTCAAGGGTGTGAATACTTTCCGAAGGCACTGTATGTTCTGGAACAGCCTTCCCAGTTAACCCCATGCGTTCTGACCATGTTCCAAGTGCGCTTCTGCTGTGTGGTGAACCATGGAGGGGCGTGTGGCAATGGGTTGCGTTCAGCCGAAACGAGGGTGCTCCCACTGGCTCCAAACATCACATGGGAGTCATAAATCAATGAGGCCTCTTAAGCCTTCTTCACACTGCAGGACTTAAAGCTCAAATCAGTTTTGTTTTATGATTACTGTGAGCGTAGTTTCCAAATGTAACAACGATAGTTTGAATCTCTGTCTCTCCCTTTCACCCTCTTCTACTGACCCCTCTTTCCCCTGACCAAGCAGTCATGCTATTGTTAGTCCAGTCCACTATGGACCTGTTTTCATTGTATTACGTTAGTAATCAATTACCTATACCGTGTGTGTGTGTTTATGTATTCTGTGTTATTTAGTTAGTAAATAAATAATTAAGCCAATTTGTGTATTGCTGATTCATCAATATTGATTATAAGCTATGTCAACTGTCTACTTTCACTAGGGGCCAATGCCACTCATAGTCTTCAAAGTGAAACACAACGTAAAACATAAAGCTGTAAGTCATTTAATGAGATGTTCACTTTGTGTCATTTCCCAATGCCAACAAATGGGACTTTTTTTATTTTATTTTTGGGCAGAAATGCCTTCTGGAATGTGAACTTTCATGTGCCTTAATAACAAACTTGTATGCCATCTGTAAATACAAATAAATCTCTGTCTGTGTAAGGGGGGACCCCCCCCCCCCCCCATTACACAGGTGCACCTTGTGCTGGGGACAACAAAAGGACACGCTAAAATGTGCAGTTTTGTCACAACACAATGCCACAGATGTCAAGTTGAGGGATTGGCATGCTGACTGCAGGTAAGTCCACCAGAGCTGTTGCCAGAGAAATTGTTCTACTTTTTTTTAACCATAAACCGCCTCCAACGTCATTTTAGAGAATTTGGCAGTACGTCCAACCAGCCAGACAACCGCAGACCATGCCAGCCCAGGACCTCCACATCCAGCTTCTTCACCTGCGGGATCGTCTGAGACCAGCCACCAAGGCAGTTGATGAAACTGTGGGTTTCCACAACCGAAGGATTTCTGCACAAACTGCCAGAAACCGTCAACGAAGCTCATCTGCGTGCTCGTCTTTCTCACTAGGGTCTTGACCAGACTGCAGTTCGGCGTAACCGACTTCAGTGGGCAAATGCTCACCTTCGACATCAACTGGCATGCTGGAGAAGTGTGCTCGTCACGAATGCATCCCGGTTTTAACTATCGGGCAGATAGCGTCGTGTGGGTGAGCAGTTTGCTGAGGTCAACGGGAACAGAGTGCCACATGGTGGCGGTGGGGTTATGGTATAAGCTACTGACAATGAACACAATCACATTTTATTCCACAGAGATACCGTGATTAGATCCTGCAGCCCATGTCGTGCCATTCATGTCGCAAGGATCTGTACGCAATACCTGGAAGCTGAAAATGTCCCAGTTCTTCCATACTCAGACATATCACCCATTGAGCATATTTGGGATGCTCTGGATTGACGGTGTTCCAGTTCCCGCCAATATCCAGCAACTTCGCACAGCGGGACAACATGCCACAATCAGCCTGATCAACTCTATACAAAGGAGATGTCGCGCTGCATGAGGCAAATGATTACACCAGATACGGACTGGTTTTCTGACCCACGCCCCTACCTTTAGGTATCTGACCAGATGTACATCTGTATTCCCAGTCATGTAAAATCCATAGATTAGGGCAAAATGTATTTCGATTGAATGATTTCCTTATATGAACTGTAAATTGTTGCCTTTATATTTCTCCCCCCCGTGTATAAAACAAATATTTGATAGCAAGCTGAAGTTTTTAGCTAGCGTTCTATGGGCTGAATAATGCACATTAGTTGCTACTTGTTGGCCACAAGACCATTTAACAGGTTGCAGTTGTCTGTCACTTGTTTTAGTGTGGAAGGGTTATAACGTTTTGAACATTTGTGATTTATGCACCCTATTCAGGCGAATGTCTGAACTCCTAAGGCTTGTGCGTTCATTATGGAACGACTGGATGGAAACAGGTCTGGGGCAGTCCTACATGAAATGTATCATATTTGTTCAATTAGGAACAGGGAGATCGCCCCAGCGTAATGTGGCACAGCCCCTTCATTGTCGCTTTGTTCTGACAAAGCAGCAGTTCCAGACTCAAGAATGAAATCTAGCAGATACCAGGTCACATTCAGGATTACTTTACTGCAAAAAGCCTAAATTGGAATGAACAAGCGGAGTAGTCATACCACAATGCAGTAACTGCTGAACATCACCCTGATTTAAAGTCAGATTGTGAGACTCCGTCTCCTAGCGACTACATGTCAGACCGTCTACATGGCACCATTTCCTCTCTGTATGAGGTGGAGGGCTTCGAGTGGCAGGGTACAGGCCCTTCGTAGTGACCCAAACCAAAGCCTCTTCTCTGGCAGAGAAGGGTCTGAAGCCTCAAGCCACACCCAGCCCTTCAGTGGGAGCAGGCATAAAGGTCAGCAGCATGTCTGTGTGGAGAGGGTATAGAACTGACACGTAAACTACAAAAGTAATGATGTAGATGAAAGAACTGTAAAAGCCTGAATTTAGTCAAACTATTTCAAAAGACGTTTGAATTACCCAGTTGACTACTTAAGCTACCTAGGAAAAAGCATTTAACACCACACTTGTTAAAGTAGACACCATTAAGTTTAAGGAAACAAATATTTATTTGTGGTTTAGAGCATAAACAGCATGTATAGAGAAGAGCAGGACATTCCTCAATTTTCCTTCACACCCCAGCTTTGATCTGGCTGTTGGGTGGGAGCGGCTTGCCCAGGTGGATTCCGACAGACAGGCCAAACTCATTGGCTGCGTGCTTCTCCTGGACATCCTCTTTGAGATGGAAGCCCTGCCCACCACCAAAGCTGTCCGAGGGGGTGAAGGTAAGCGGCATTTCTCCGAGAAGCCCTTGCAGCCGTGTGCACCATGCCTCCAGCATGCTGTCTCGAGCCTCAACGGGGATGTGGAGTGGAGCCCAGAAGATCTGAGGAGCCAGAACCTGGAAACCACAGTAGTGCAGGATGCCATTCTACAGGGGGAGAATAAACATGCTCAAGTAGATATTAACACATTAATTGATTTGGTCAAATTATGCAATCCTTCATCAATATTAGTACTTGCCAATCTGAAAGTCAAAAGCAAAGATCTAGTGGGGATAACAGATGAAAGCTTAGGCTCATTACTGTAGAGCAATCTACATGCCAGCCAAGCCTAACATACCTGCAATGGCCACAGGGTGACATTCATGTCTCCATTGATACCATTGGTACTGAACATAGACTCCTGGGATCCAGTGGTGAAGGACAGCATGGCTTTCTTGTCCTGGAGGGAAACAAGGTGAGGAGACATTGATATGAGTGGACCACAGAAGAGGAACACTGAAGGAGCATGTTAACCAACCATTTGTGGTGTTATTAAAAGGCCCATTGCAGTAAATGTCTCCTGTGTCATTGAACAACAGCTGACGTAACAGTAAGAGCAAAATCTGAGTCATTTCTTGATCATTGCTGGTTGAAAATATAATCTACATAGGCCCTACATGCATCCCCTACCTTGAAGAAGCCCTGGCTGTACCTCTTTTCTGAGGTGTAGGCAAATCCCAGTGTGAGCACCCGGTCCATCCAGCCCTTCATGATGGCAGGAACAGTGAACCAGTACATAGGAAACTGAGAGATGAGACACTAGTCAAAAACCAGTACCTGGAATGGGTGCATTTCAGCCACCATCCGAAAAGCACTAAAGGCTCTACACTTAAAATTAGGTTAGGAAAATTGGCTTCATCAACGTAAGCCTAAGACACTTAACAGTACTGCAGGAGATCACCTGGAATATGACAAGCTCCGCTTCAGAGAGTTTGCAGTGTTCCTCAGTGAGATCAGCAGAGTCGGCCCTCCTTCCATGCCAGCATGGTCTCCTCTCCATACTGGAAGTGCTCAGCATCCTTCACCTCCCCTGATAAATCATAACAGACTGAGACTAAGCAAGTTGAGGTAGAAAAGAAAAAGCTCTTGCCAAAAGAAAATTGTTGTGACCTTAAGCATTTAATAGGCACTCAAGCTTACACACTTATCATTCACTACTGTAATTAAGTAAAGCATTGGTTCAGACTGTTACCAGTGATGTCGTCAACAGTAGCAGAGGCTTTAAACTTCATGGCGTAGAGGTCAGACACCTCCACCTTACAGCCCTGAGCAGTCAGAGCTGTCACAGCTGCATCTTTAGCTGCAGCGTTAAATGACCCAGTACTCTGGTGGGCGTACACGATCAGAACCTTCTCGGCTGCAACCAGATCAGATAAGCCACATCAAAGTATTGAAGATAATGCTTTTCTTACTCAATGAAATAAAATAATTTCTTCTAGCATAAAGACAAATAGAAAATGGCATCTAATCTGGAACACACAAAAGCGTTTAGGACTCTTACAAATGACTCAACCATTTTGTGTGGCATGGTCTTCTGCTTGTGATGAGCTAAGGGTCAAGGTGACTTGGAAGGAAACTAGATGAGACTGACAAGGCTGAGACTGCTGCTCTTGTAATACTCTCTGGACCAAACACACCCTCTCACACAGCTGCCTGTCAATCAGCAATCACGCTAATCGTCTGTCAGTCAATCAATCAAGAAGTCTGTCATTTCTCTTTCTCCCCAGGAGAATCTCAATTGATTTTGTTCGACTCCTCAGGTCCTTGTGGACTCCCGAACTATATGTGTTGAGTGTTGAAAAGAAATTGAGCTGATTATAGATCAGTGTGTTTACATGTGTTGTGGGTGTGTTCGCTATAGGTGCAGATAGGGTTGCAAAGGGAGGGTATATTTCTGGTAACGTACAAAGTTGAAGTTTGGTAACTTTCAAGGATTTTATGTAATTTATAACATGACATCTAGTGGCATTTTTCTACCCAGATTATCACAGGTGTCTGTAATTATCTCTGGCCCTTTGTGTTGCCTTATTACATGTAAAATATATAAAATAATACAATACGATGATTTTAAAATAGAAAATATAATGACAAAGCTGTGAAAGATTATCCTAAATATAACCTATCAACTTAGTGAATACCATTGGTGTTTAATATGAGGGTTTCAGCCAGGGGCGGACTGGCCCTATTCCTGGTTGGCCAGTCTGATTGGACCTGTGTTGGCTAGTCTGATTGGACCTGTGTTGTCCAGTCTGATCGGACCTGTGTTGGCCAGTCTGATCGGACCTGTGTTGGCCAGTCTGATCGGACCTGTGTTGGCCAGTCTGATCGGACCTGTGTTGGCCAGTCTGATCGGAGCTGTATTGGCCAGTCTGATCGGACCTGTGTTGGCCAGTCTGATCGGACCTGTGTTGGCCTGTCTGATCGGACCTGTGTTGGCCTGTCTGATCGGATCTGTGTTGGCCAGTCTGGTCGGACCTGCATATAGCCTTGGTCCGTGACGTTAGAACACTGCATGCACACATACCAACTGAGAAGCAAAAACACCATCTGAGACATTCACAGACCGGGCGCCCTCAGCGCTCACTGTCTGCCGCTGGATGCTTCTAAAAAATACAGGACAAAGACCAAACAAAACAATGGTGCATAAAGATGGAGGAATTCAGATATGACGTCTTTGTTTGAAAACTATCCAAATACTTTATAAAATATGCCACGTGACATGGTTCAATGTGCCACTTTTCGTTCTTTTCAAATTGCAGCCGTCTTCGAGCTAAAATTGGGATCATCTGCACTGAGTGTACAAAACATTAGGAACACCTTCTCTTTCCATGACATAGACTGACCAGGTGAAAGCTATGACCCCTTACTGATGTCACCTGTTAAATACACTTCAATCAGTGTACATTCATTTTTTACATTATTAGCTCAGAAAGTGTTTTGCATCATTACATACAGCCGGGAAAAATTATTGGATATCAGAGCGGCGGTCACCCACCAGCATTACGACCAGGAATACGACTTTCCCGAAGCAGATGCTTTGTTTGCTCTCCCCAGGGCAACTGAACTGATTCCAGCGGCTGACCCAAAACATCGCCTGCGAAGGAGAGGCACTCGGAGCGGCCTGCTGGTCCGACTTAGGAGGTGCGCACACCACCCACCGCTTCCAAGTATTCTACTCGCTAATGTTCAATCTTTAGTTAACAAAGTCGACGAACTACGGGCAATGATTTCTTTCCAGAGAGACATCAAGGCCTGTAACATACTCTGTTTCACGGAAACATGGCTCTCTTGGGATATTCTGTCGGAATCGGTCCAGCCAGATGGGTTCTCAGTTCATCGCGCAGACAGGAATAAATATCTCTCCGGGAAGCAGAAGGGCGGAGGTGTGTGTTTCATGATTAACGACTCATGGTGTAATTGTAGTAACATAGAGGAACTCGAGTCCTTCTGTTCACCCGACCTATTATATCTCACAATCAAATGCCGACCGTATTATCTCCCAAGATAATTTTATTTGGTTAAAGTCACGGCCGTGTATATCCCCCCTCAAGCCGATACCACGACGGCCCTCAAAGAACTTCACTGGACCTTATGCAAACTGGAAACCATATATCCTGAGGCTGCATTTATTGTAGCCGGGGATTTTAACAAAGCAAATTTGAGGACTAGGCTGCCGAAGTTCTATCAACATATCGACTGTTGTACTCGCACTGCTAAAATCCTCGACCATTGCTATTCAACCTTCCGGGATGGTTATAAGGCCCTCCCCCGCCCTCCTTTTGGCAAATCTGACCACGACTCCATTTTGTTCTCCCTTCCTATAGGCAGAAACTCAAACAGGAAGTACCCATGCTAAGGACTATTCAACGCTGGTCTGACCAATCAGAATCCACGCTTCAAGATTGTTTTGATCACGCGGACTGGGATATGTTCCGGGTAGCTTCCGAAAATAATTTAGACATATACACTGAAACAGTGACTGAGTTTATCAGGAAGTGTATAGGTGATGTTGTACCCACTGTGACTATTAAAACCTACCCTAACCAGAAACCGTAGATAGACGGCAGATTTCGCGCAAATCTGAAAGCGTGAACCACCGCATTCAACCATGGCAAGGTGACTGGGAATATGGCAGAATATAAACAGTGTAGCTACTCACTCTGCAAGGCAATTAAACTGGCAAAACATCAGTATAGAGACAAAGTGGAGTCGCAATTCAACAGCTCAGACACGAGACGTATGTGGCAGGATCTACAGACAATCTCGGACTACAAAAAGAAAACCAGACACAGCGCCGACACCGACGTCTCACTTCCAGACAAGCTAAACACCTTCTTCGACCGCTTTGAGGATAACACAGTGCCACTGACGAGGCCCAATACCAAGGACTGTGGCCTCTCCTTCTCCATGGCCGACGTGATTAAGATATTTAAGCATGTTAACCCCCGCAAAGCTGCCGGCCCAGACGGCATCCCTAGCCGCGTCCTCAGAGCATGCGCAGACCACCATTGTTACTGTACCCAAGAAAGCAAAGGTAACTGAACTAAATGACTATCGCCCTGTAGCACTCACCTCTGTCATCATGAAGTGCTTTGAGAGACTAGTCAAGGATCATATCACCTCTACCTTACCGGTCACCCTAGACCCACTTCAATTTGCTTACCGCCCCAATAGATCCACAGACGATGAAATTGCCATCATACTGCACACTGCCCTATCCCATCTGGACAAGAGGAATATCTATGTAGGAATGCTGTTCATTGACTATAGCTCAGCATTCAACACCTTAGTACCCTCCAAGCTCATTATTAAGATTGAGGCCTTGGGTCTGAACCACGCCCTGTGCAACTGGGTCCTGGACTTCCTGATGGGCCCCCCCCAGGTGGTGAAGGTAGGAAACAAACCTCCACTTCGTTGATCCTCAACACTGGGGCCCCACAAGGGTGCGTGCTCAGCCCCCTCCTGTACTCCCTGTTCACCCATGACTGCGAACAGAACAGAGCTCCGGGCAGCGGAGCGGAAATGGAAGAAAACTAAACTCCCTGCCGACCTGGCATCTTTTCACTCCCTCCTCTCTACATTTTCTTCATCTGTTTCTGCTGCTAAGGCCACTTTCTACCACTCTAAATTCCAAGCATCTGTCTCTAACCCTAGGAAGCTCTTTGCCACATTTTCCTCCCTCCTGAATCCTCCCCGCCCCCCCCTCCTCTCTCTCTGTGGATGACTTCGTCAACCACTTTGAAAAGAAGGTTGACGACATTCGATCCTCGTTTGTTAAGTCTAATGACACTGCTGGTCCTACTCACACTGCCCTACCCTATGCTTTGACTTCTTTCTCCCCTCTCTCTCCAGATAAAATCCTGCGACTTGTGACTGCAGGCCGCCCAACAACCTGCCCGCTTGACCCCATCCCCTCCTCTCTTCTCCAGACCATCTCCGGTGACCTTCTCCCCTACCTCACCTCGCTGATCAACTCATCCTTGACCGCTGGCCATGTCCCTTCCGTCTTCAAGAGAGCGAGAGTTGCTCCCCTTCTCAAGAAACCAACACTCGATCCCACTGATGTCAACAACTACAGACCAGTATCCCTTCTTTCTTTTCTTTCCAAAACTATTGAGCTTGCCGTCTTTAGCCAACTCTCTTGCTATCTCTCTCAGAATGACCTTCTTGATCCAAACCAGTCAGGTTTCAGGACTGGTCATTCAACTGAGACTGCTCTTCTCTGTGTCACGGAGGCTCTCCTCACTGCTAAAGCTAACTCTCTCTCCTCTGCTCTTGTTCTTCTAGACCTGTCTGCTGCCTTTGATACTGTGAACCATCAGATCCTCCTCTCCACCCTCTCCGAGCTGGGCATCTCCGGCGCGGCTCACTCGTGGATTGCGTCCTACCTGACCGGTCGCTCCTACCAAGTGGCGTGGCGAGAAGCTGTCTCCGCACCATGTGCTCTCACCACTGGTGTCCCCCAGGGCTCAGTTCTAGGCCCTCTCCTTTTCTCCCTATACACCAAGTCACTTGGCT